GAGCGCGGAACGAGCGACAAAGAGGCACAATCGGTCTCCGCGTTCGGCAGCGTTCGACATCTGTCTCTCTCCTACTTGAGTGAGCGATGCGTCCGCGTGGACAGCTGCTATACAATAATACATTTCCATTTACCTCCTTCTCTATATCCATACAAAATATCTATCAAACAAATAGAATTAAAATTTTCTTTTGAAAAATGAAACCATTCCATCAGTATTTTCTTATGACGTTGTCACGTTCAACTATCGTCAGTAAACCGACGTTACAGACAACCGATATTTTTTATGTTAATATAACCCTAAGAGATTCCAAAACGATATCATCCGCCTCTCACCCTAATAGTAACTTAAGTTATTATTAACTGTCTGTTTTAAATCCTTACTTAATGGCTTAGTACTAACAATGTAACAATGGTGACCTTCATGTAAAAGCAGTTCTATTTCTTAGTCCTCCGCAGTTCGTAATTCTATTGCGGCCTTGGATATGTTAAGTTTGGAAGGATAATTCCATAGATAAGCTGAACAATAAAATTCAAATAAAAGCGTACCATAACGCAAGAACAAGTTTGCCCAATTTAGTCCAATCTAATAATGTTTTGTTTCAGACATGAACCTCATTAACATGGACGCGGAAAACCGCGTCGTATTGAACGTGGGTGGAATCAGGCATGAAACGTATAAAGCGACCCTAAAGAAGATCCCAGCGACCCGATTGTCACGACTCACCGAAGCGCTGGCGAATTATGATCCTATTCTCAACGAATACTTCTTTGACAGGCATCCGGGAGTTTTTGCACAAGTTCTTAATTACTATAGGTACGATTCCATCCAGCTAAATCTAAAGTAGGGATTATTATTTAACCCGTAACTGATACCGTGTTGTCCCGAAGCGTTAAAAATGAAAACTGGTGAATAATTAAAGAATATTTATCCAACCTATAGGACAGATGATTATAAGTTTCATAATGATTAAAAAAATTAAAATCTTTTGCAGCAAAGCTTCGATAATAATTCATTGCAAAGAATCAGTAGATGTAATTTAACTAACTTTGACTTCCGTCGTGGTAACTCCAAGCGATTACGTCAAACCAGATGCGCACTCTCTTACTGCGCAACTAAGTGACGCTGTTATAGTTCGCGCCATGTATTAAAGAAGTTTTTACTCCTACCTCTTACCTGTCGTGTGCTGGTACTTGTCAATATTTGGCTTATGAAATACCCGATAATTTTCGATTAAATTATATTCCAGTAAACGAAAGGAGAGACATAAGCAATCAAATAAAAGCATCATTCCGTTAAAGCTGGGTTAACTCAGGCTCTTACGGTAATAACAGAAAAAGACAACAATCTTCCTTTTGTTTACAGGAATATCGGACTTAAAAGGACTTCTCTGATGTGCAAATATTAGTACAATTGCATTCGTTGTGGTAACCTTTACCAATGTCTATTAAGTCTTTACGAAACAATCGCTCGAACGATGGTTTCAAAATTAAGAATATCATTTAACTTCAACCACTTAAATTTTATCAGCTGCAGAGAACTTCTTTCTTACCATGAAACCGTTTTCAATGTCATGTTTTGTACCTCCTTAAAATTTTTCTTGCTACAGAACAATCAGTTATAAATAATTACTACACGATTTAAATTCATTTAAAACTCAGATTTTTAATTTGCGTGATCGTCTATTTCACTTATGAGGCAGAACGGTATTGCCTCGTACATGTATAAATAGGCAAAATTTTACCTAGTAGGTAATTACACGCATTATACTGCATTTACTTTCTCTAGCAATGTGCCCCTTCCAATGTTTTTGATGCGCGCTGGCAAAATCGTAGGTAGGGAGAAAAAAACTCATTATACTCTCGACTCTTGTTCATTAAACATACTTTTTCATACAGTATCTGCCAAAAGTTTTGTTCAATCATGAATAGTTGTGCGAGTCCAAAACAAGCGTTAAAGATAAAAATATGTCTTCAAATATAAATAAACATCTCGTTGATATTTTCAGTAGTAAATGGTACCAATAACAGCACATTTGAGCAATGCAATTGTAGTAGATAAAAGTGGTCAATTTTTCTGTGCAGTACTGTACGGATTCTACGCTCCTCACCGGTTAAGAGTTTGGCCGAGAGTTGTCTCCTTCCTTTTCTGGCCTAGTGCTGTTCTTTTCTATTTTGCGCCGGTCAAACTGAAGGTCACAGCTACAGAAAGTAAACGAAGTATAATTAGTCGTAACATACTCCTGTGATATGCACTCTAAGAAATAGAAGCAGGTATAACTTCTATCACGTGTAAATAAGTACCCATATACACCTCTTTTTTATTCACTTTAGCTTCTGTAGTATAAAAAACGCTAGTAATAATATTTACGACGCATCCCCAAGAAAGAGCTATAATATCAGTCCCTGAAAAGAACTGCGTTCCATAAAAAATAATTTCTGACATCGTAAATCCTGGTATATGCTTTTGTTTTCGGGAGATAAGTTTCAACACTTTTAATAGCACGTCTTAACTTTAGTAACAGGTTATTAAATTTGATACAGCTAATTCTAAGATCGCGCGCCTCCCTTGGAGACATTAAAACTTTTATGGACCACGTTAAATTTGAAACTTTTTTCGCAGGACTGGCAAACTACACTATCCTTCCGATGTCTGCGGACCATTATTTGAAGAGGAGTTAGAATTTTGGGGTTTGGATGCAAACCAAGTGGAACCCTGTTGCTGGATGACGTACACACAAGTAAGTTTTCATTTAACCTTATTATTTTATTATTATTTGGATCAAGTGTAAAACTTTTGTATATATTTCTTTTTCGTTTTATGGGAGGCCAAAAATTTCAAAAACATCTCTATACTACTAAAAGGTAACTGTAAAATTACGACAGCATATTACGAACTACTGACATTTGACTCCACTCTTTCTTTTCCTGAGCTAATCTTCGCATTTCCCTAAAACTAGAACATCCCATATCCTTAACTATTTGCGAACAGTAATCTAATCTAAGTCGACCTCTATTCCTCTTAACTCCTGTTTCTGCCTCTAACATGTCTCTGACTAGACCATCATGTCGGAGAAGGTATCCTACCAACCTATCTCGCTTATTTCTTACTGACTTCCATAGAGTCCTCTGTTCTCCTATTCTTTCCAATACCTCTTCATTTCTAACCTTCTCTATCTACGGTATCATCATCATTCGCCTGTAACACCACATTTCGAACGCTTCTAACCTTTTTTTTTCCGCCGCGCCCACCTTCCTTTTTTCGCACCCGTACAGCCCTGCGCTCCAAACATACACCTTTAACAATCTTTTTCCAATTTCTAAATTAACCGTTCGCGAGTATAGATGTGACTTCTTTTTATTGATGGATTATCACCATCAAGTATCTCCCAGATCTATGTTGTAGTTAAATATTATACAGTGTTCTCCAAATTTCACTTTTATAATTCAACCACCCCCTTCGACAGACTCTCCGATTGATAAAAATGAAAATTCTGAAGTACCCCTGTCCCTTGTTAAGTATTATAGCAGTTATTAATCATTAATTAAGAAAACAACTTTGAAAACTACTTTTTTCCTTACATATCTACATGATGTCCAAGAATTATCCGATGCATTATTATGGTGTACGACTTTTATTATTTTCAAAGCCTTTTCATGTATCTCACCCTTTTGATTGTTGGGAATATTTTGGAAAACGACATAAACAATTAACTAATGACATTCATAAGTCTAAATATAATGTCAAAACGTAGAATAAAATGAATTCCAAGTTGTACATTACGAAATCCAAAATAAACACACCAATAACGATTTTACCGTAACTGCCAGATGATAAGCAAAATACTCAAAGAAAAAAAAAAAGTCTATCACAGATGTCATCCTAAGAATGTTCATTGTTCAACAGAAACCGAGATGAAAAAACAATTTATATCAAACTGTCAGAAATTATTTAAAGTACTTGTTATCAATATTTTCCTACCGTTAAAGAGGTAGTAATTTTACGTATTATTTTCAGATATTATTCAACTGTTTCTCTTCCTTTAAATTCCACAAATTCCTTAAATGCTAACAATTTATTTCGCATTTACTCGAACGTGTTTTGCTGTTATCAAATTTGGCATTCTGCTGGGTACAAGACAAGCTGAATGTAATTTACTTCCCCTATATCAAAGCTAATTTTGACCCGAATTAGACGTGTTAGGCTGAGATTTGCCCTCATTTCGCCGCAGCGGCGAGGGCTGCTACTCTCTAATTTAACGATAGGTAATAAGTATAGTTTTAGTGGTCTTATTTTCTCCATTTGCTTCATAAATTTCAAGATTTGCGTTTATAACTCCGGATACAGATTATTTGCCGTTTATTATACCTATAAAACACCACGGCTTTCTTCTGATCCCATGTTTATTAGCTACAGCGGATCATAATATGCCATAATTTCGAGCATTGTCTTCTTCCATCTACCTCCGTGTCTTATGTTACACACATCAAATATCTAATAATAGTTCTTCTACTCCACGGACCCTCGAAATCCCTTTTCTTCTTACTGTTTATTAAATTGTCAAAGTTATTTTCACTATTGCGCCTTCTTATTTCTCAGAATAGCTTCGCAAATAATAAAGCATGTCATATTCCTGGAACGAGTCAACATGTCAATCCCACCATTCAGATTTTTTAATAAAAAAAGTAAAAAAAGTTACCTCGTGACTCCGTTTTCGCATGAAACCCCATTTCTCTTTGTCTAACTCGATTTCTTTAGGTTCCTTTGATATATCAAGATAAAACAATGTCTCACTTATGACTAGTAATAAACGCGATGCCTCCCACATGAAAAAAAAAATCGGTTGTCTGTAAAGTCGGTTTACTGACGATAGTTGAACGTGACAACGTCATAAGAAAATACTGATGGAATGGTTTCATTTTTCAAAAGAAAATTTTAATTTTATTTGTTTGATAGATATTTTGTATGGATATAGAGAAGGAGGTAAATGGAAATGTATTATTGTATAGCAGCTGTCCACGCGGACGCATCGCTCACTCAAGTAGGAGAGAGACAGATGTCGAACGCTGCCGAACGCGGAGGCCGATTGTGCCTGTTTGTCGCTCGTTCCGCGCTCTCGCTTGCACTTCAAGCCTTAAATGGAACGCCTCAGAGCGAGGTAACGCCGCATGAGTCATGTTTTTTCGCGCGTGCAGCCATCGAATTATAAGACGTTGTCACGTCAAAAACCTAGGTTAAATCATTTCTCAGATAAAATGTCCCTATAAGTATTTTCTGAATAAAACACTAAACGCCAATAAAACTCCGAAAAGTGTTTCGAAACTAAAGGCATCAGCCTCAATTATATAGAGAGTTCCAAACAACTCCATTTCTTGATTAGCTGTTCTCTTATCTGCAACTGCTGTAGTTTGTATCAGAATTCTATTCATCAAACAGAAATTGTTTTGATTTTTTTTTGTATTAAAATAATTGCTTTTGAATTCAAATCGAATCAAATTCTTGTACCAACTCTGCGTATAAACCCAATAAGAATTTGTGAAATTTTTCTTAAATTTCAGACAAAAGAACTACTTTCACAAAAAACATCATACATTCTATTAGGGTTGATAATTATGTCCAAAAAATTAAACAATAAATTCTTGATGCTAGTGTTGTACCGAAACTATGAGACATATATCGCGATTTCGAAGTCCTTTCTCTCATCAGCACGCCACAGACGAGATTAGCCCGTACAGGCAGGCAGACAGACAGATAGACAAACAACAAACAGTCATATGTGTTTATTATAGACAAACCCTTCAACTTTATTTGTTTATACTTATAACTCGTTTCATTAATTACATATGCAAGGATCTGTAGAATACTTTTACAGTAGACAGATAAAGTTTTAGATATTAATTGGTTTGTTTTCCATTTGTTTCAGCATCGAGACACACAGGAAACTCTGGCTGTTTTAGATAGGTTAGATTTAGATACAGAAAAACCAAGTGACGAAGAAATTGCTAGAAAATTTGGCTTTGAAGAGGACTATTTCAGGGGCACATTATCCTGGTGGCAGTTGACGAAACCAAAAATTTGGTCTCTCTTTGATGAACCGTATTCATCTACAGCAGCAAAGGTAAATCAATCAAAAACTATGTTATTATTGAATTACTTATTTATTACCACGTACCACAAATCTATTAAGAAGAAATCTATTAGAAAATAATAATTGTCCCACCCTGGTTTAGAGATTAACTTATTAATCGATTTTTTATTTCTATTATGTATATAGTATACAGGTATCTTGTAGATGTTGATGTTTATAGTTTTTCTGAATATAAACGTATATATTTCGTTACCATATCGCACTGTAGCAGATTTTGATCAAGATACTTCGTTTACTTTCTCTAGCGATGTGCCCCTTCCAATGTCTTGGATGCGTGCCGGCAAAATCGTAGGTAGGGAGAAAAAAGCTCATTATACTCTCGACACTTGTTCATTAAACATACTTTTTCATACAGTACTTGCCAAAAGTTTTGTTCAATCATGAATAGTACTGCCAGTCGAAAACAAGCGTTAAAGTCTATAATATGTCTTCAAATATAAACAGCACATTTGAGCAATACAATTTTAGTGGATAAAATGGTCAATTTTTCCGTGCAATACTTTACGGATTGTACGCTCCTCACCGGTTAATAGTTTGACCGAGAGTTGTCTCCTTCCTTTTCTGGCCTAGTGCTGTTCTTTTCTACTTTGCGCCGGTCAAACTAAAGGTTACATCGCTAGAGAAACTAAACGAAGTATATAAACGTACTACAAATAAGTGCTTCTCTAACAGCAAACTAATTTTTCCTAAATATACATACTTAGGTATTAACATATCGTCCCAAAGTCATAAAATTTCTCCTTATTCTCAATATCAAAGTACAAAAACTACTGTTGTTTCCGGATACATATTTCTAGATGAAACCTCTGCTTCTTTATTGAGACGCTAATAGCTGTAAAGGTAGGTACTAAATATAAGAAATAAATTCAATAATTACATGTCACGAACGATTTACAAATTACAGCCTCAATGGACTTAACCTTATCTGACCTTACATTAAGTATTTACAAAGAAACAAAGGATTAAATTGGTTTCTCTTCTAAAAGAATCGATCATCTTGTAACAGTTTTTCTATTAAGTAAATTAAAGAAAGTTAACGTTTTGTAAGCCTTTACTGTTTCATCGGTAAATATTTCCAAAAAAAATTTAATTAAATTTACAAGTCTCGCCTCACTATTTATCAACGTTTCTATAATGACGTCGTCGCTTCAACGAGTTTAAAATAAATTAGCCTTTTAGTTAATACGACATTTTATAAAATGGATTGCAAAAAAGAGCCACACCATTAACTCTATCAGAAGATAAATGAAATTCAATCGCTTCCGCATCACAGTTCCCTCTTTTGAAGTAAATTAAATTTGCATTTGTATATTTAAACGTTTCAGACGGGTGCTAGTCTTAGCAAGAAAATAACAAAAAAAAAACGAAAGCCACCACAGTAATAGTTTTATTTTTTGCAAAACGACACCTTCTGATTATACCATTTACATAGAATTTATATTACAGTAAAAACTCTTTATTCGCGGGGTATACGTTCCATAAATATGCCTCTAATACAGAAACCGTGGATATGTAATGGTAATTAGTATGGAATCATAGGGGATACGTTCTAAGGTTCCAAAATTAAACCAATATGTATCAAAATAAAGTCAATGTATTGATAAATTCGCAATTAAAATTAATCGTTATAATCAGTTTTAGACAAGAGTTTAAAAAATTGTGATTTTTTTTTTGAATTTTAAAATTAGTCCACTCGGTTACATCTTTTATAAAAGTCGCCTCAGCACGAGCCAATAGTACCTACTCAAAAGATGCTACGTTGAAAAATAACACCGAATCCTTTTCTACTCGGTTAGATTTTTTAAAAAAAAACCACTTCGGCACGTGCCAACTGTACATACACAAAAGATGCCGATACATTAAGGGGATTCAGTAGTACACGCGCCGTAGAGTAAACACATGCTTATCGGTTCTAGATATCATGAGTTTAATATTTGGAACAGAGGTTTGACATTTTGTAGTAAGATATGTGAAGCTTTGTTCTAAAGCTTGTCGAAGGCCATTTTTTTATTTTTTAATTTCTATTGAAAATACGTGTCCTACAAAAAGCATCAATTTTAAGCACTTGTAAAAGCTTTTAATGACCATATTATTGAAAATCGAGAACGTACCGAGTTAGTGTGAACCTTTGTCTGGTACTATACAAAAAGTTAGATATTTATCTCGCCGCGTTAAATCAGAATGTTTAGAATAGAAACCAATGTTTTCGGAAAAATTCACACTAGGCACGAGCGGTCTTTTGCGGCTAATCCCCTTAATAAATGACACCGAATCCTTTCCCGTTTACTGATTGCAACCGCGAATAATAAAATTTTTAACCGCAAATACAGGAACTGGGTTGCAATTTTTTCACCTGCGAATAAAGAAACCGTGAATAAGGAACTTTTACTATAGTAGCAATAACAAAGAAAATATGAAAATTTTAAAATTGAAGTACAACAAAATCGTGTCATACTTTGAAAACTTCACTATCGTCAAAAACAAACATATGGGTTTTAGATGTGTTTGTTTGAATTTTTTTAACGTTTAGCGCATGCGTATCAAGTGTCAACCTTGAATTCATAGTGATCGCAGCGCTCTCTACTGTATCTCTTTTTGGACTCCTCATCTACAATTTTCATGGTAGTAACCAAGTTGCTAGATTTGTTACCCTATTTCAATTTGAAGATATTAGATACCTATTTTTTCCCTCTGTTTGAATAAGAAAATTTGATATTTACATGTTTTGGTTGTTTATATGGTTTTGATTTTTTGAATACTTCAGAAATTTAGGTTATTTTTCAATTAAAACTTATCCGTGAAAACTTGTACACCTCCAAAGTTAGCATAAATAATGTACAACATACTGGGATCAAAGGAAGATTCTAAATTAAGTTTGAAGTTAACATAAAATGAATTTGGCGCGTATACAAGTTGAATGTTGCAGGTTCGTACCTTTACATTATAGAAAATTAAATTTTGCCGTTAAAAGTAAACGAGAAACCCTGAGATCGATACATCTCGGATTCGGGTTTAAAAGCTCCGAGCTTTTACGGCCAGTTTCGAAGTATTACTTATGCTGACATACAAACTGCACTGCAATATCTAATGCAGCGTCAGTTCGAGGCAATTTAAAACGAACAAGAAACGTGAAATGTCTTCGAACTCGGGGTCCTTTATCATGCCAAATTGCCAAATGGCATCCTACAAAAATATATATCTACATTAATGGAATTATGCCTCTCTGCGTAATTTAGTTACTTAGGAAGAAAATAACGTACATCTATACAAAACTGCTAAAATATAGCTAGTTCAAAATCTCATGAGCCTTCAGAAGTACAAGAAGCTGGTTCATATTGTTTAACGTGGCGATTTCTACGCTGCGGTTTACTGATTACGTCTCACCAGCACAAGGGATTGAAATAAGTCCAGTCAATGTACTGAGGTCAAGGTCACCACTTCCATTTTTAACTAAGAGGTAAATAAAACCCTCTAGAACCTTCAGGTGCGAGCGGAGCCTATTTAATCCCTATCAGGATTAACAGCATTGATACCCGAACAGACATATGCCTCTCAGCCGTGACTGCTCCTCCCCCTCAGCATGCGAGGTGTATCCACTGCTAGAAGGTACGACTCTAACCTGAGACAGCCAGAGAGAGATAGAAAAAATTTCCAGCTGGGATCCCCAGGGCTCCCGTAGTATCAGTGCCTATTGCTGGTCGGATGTTCAGGGCACGAATCACCCTTTTAGTTGGATTACTTGCACTCCGATACTATTTTGATTAACGTAGTGATGCGGTTTAGTAATTACATCTGCCATGGACGAAGGATTGAGATACGTCCAATTAGTGTACTGAGGTTAAAGCCACCACTTCAATTTTTAATTAAAAGGCAAATAAGACCCTCTAGAATCTTCAGGTACAAGCGGAGTCTATTTAATCCCTATGAGGCTTAACAGTATCGGTACCCGAACGGATATATGTCTCACACCCTTGCCGACTCTTCTTCCTCAGCATTCGAGGTGTTACTACTGTTACGACTGTTACCACGAGTCCAACTACAGAGAGACAGAAAACATTTCTATCTGGGATCCCCGGGTCTCCTGTAGTATCAGTGGTCGGATGTTCGGTGATAGAATCCCCCTTCGAGTTGGATTACTTACACTCTGGCATTGTTCTTATTAACTTGAAGATTCTTTACCTTGCGATTTATTGATTACGTCTTCCATGGATGAAGGACTGAAATACGTCCAATCAGTATACGAAAGTCGAAGTCACCTCTTCCATTTTTAACTAGTAAGACCTCTTTTTTAGCCGAGAACGGAGCTCTCCCCTAGCATTTTAGGTGTATCCACTGCTATTATGAATCCAACCTCAAACAGCCAGGGAGACAAATAAAATTCCCACCTTGGATCCTCGGGCCTCTCGTAGTGCTAATTTCCATTGATCGGATGTTCGAATGACAAATGCCCCTTCCTGTTGGATGACTTACAATCCAGCACTATTTTGATTAACATGGTGATTATTCCGTTGCGGTTTATTGATTACGTCTCTCATGGTCGAAGGATCGCCTAATCAGTGTGCGTTCGGTGCCTACCTAATCCCCATCAGACTTCACCCGTGCCTACTGCTCTCCCCAAACATACGAGGTGTAACTACTACCAACCTCAGACACCAAAGAAACAGAAGATAATACCACTTGAGATCTCCGGACATCCCATAGTACCAGTGTTCATCTCTAGTCGGATGTTCAAAGGACTTATCCCCCTTCTAGTTGAATGTGCAAGCAATACCTTACTAGTAAGCCATCTGGAATTCATGAGATCGGCATCTTCCCGGCGAATCTGCCCCCCCCTTTAATGAGTGTAACGAACGAGTCCACTTTCGTGAACTACTACCACTTTTAGGCTACAGCCTTTTCACACATTTATTTGGTAGGATCGGTTGAGGATGGCCTTAAATTTAAGGGTGAACGTACAGCACCTTCTACAA